CCCCCCCAACACACACACGCAGAGATTTTTAACCTTTATTTGCTTTCACTAAGTACTATCGTAAGTGACAGCTGATATTTTTCTCTTTAAGGAATGAGCTACACATGTTATGTCTAGTAATGCAAAAACTGCTAACTACAGTTTTTAGTCAATTTTACAGAGACATTCCATCTTCTGAATTTCAAAATTTTCTCAGTTTTGATTTACACTATTCAACCATATTTGCCTTAGTAATCGGGGCAAAAAGTCCCTCGCTCCAACAACAATCTGTGAAAATGTTATTAATAAGTGTCACACTATTTAGCACAACTTTTCAGATGACACAAAACCAGGAAAGACTGCAAACACATTGGGGGATAGGAAAGCAATTCATGAGGATCTCAATAGGTTGGAAAGCTGGTATGGAGCTAACAAGATAAAGTTCAATACTAACAATTGAAAGGTGTTACACAAATACAAAATGGGTGACAGCCGACTGGATGGTAGCACTATGGAGAAGCATCTGGGTGTTTTTGTAGATCACAGATGCAATATGAGTCTGCAGTGTGATGAAGCTGAACAAAAGGCAAATGCATTGATAGAAGCATTATATACAAGAAGCAGGAGGGGACAGTGCCTCTCTACTCAGCACTGGTTAAATCTCATCGAAGTATTGTGTGCAGTTTTAGCCTCTACACTTTACAAAGGACATGGAGAAGTTAGAGAGGGTCCAGAACTAGCACTTGAAGGAAGCAAGAGGACACAATAGCATCAGCTGGAAGGTGGGTTCCATCTAAGGGATAGTTTCCGTCCTTCCCAGTTTGATGCCATCCATCCCTGAGGCTTTCATCCTCCTCCAGCTTGGGAGCTGCTACAAGCCTCATCTATAAATCTTTCTTCCTCCCTTTACTGCTCCAGTTCAGCCACCCTAGCCATGAGGCAATGTACTTGTTCTCTCAGAGCCTTGAACCAGGTGCACACATATAAAACTTGCCCCCAGGGCTGGTAATCATATATGCTGCACTTTGTACAATAAACTGAGTAGCTTGTGTTCTACACTCCAGAAAACATCAACCAGTCTCTTTTGGTTGTGAATTCATCTGGTTTATGTTGTTATATGTATGAAAAATAATAACTTGTGTGTAAGCCACTCATTCTTTACACTTACCTTTTGTTAATTTTTCTCCTTCACTTGTGAAAGAAAACACTCCTCTTTAATTCTGTGTGCTGCACATCTTGGAAGGCAAGATTCTTTGGGTAGATGTGATATATTTTCTTAGACCAACTGAGTAGCTGGGAAAAAGTTCTTAGTAAGCTTTCGGGTGCTGTCACTCTTCATCAGGCATAGGGAGTCTCTGCTAGTCTGAGACTCCCACTATTGAAACTTCCTTCCAGTGCTATTATTTCAGTGTGTGCTCCCCTAGCCTTCCCCCACCAAAGACTGATCCACAAGGCAGTGGGGGCTGGGGTTTTCAGGTGCCCCATACTCACCCTTACCTGGGGTTTTCCACTAGTGGCACTTTCTAGGGGTTACTCCACCACAAGGAGCCCCACTACTATGACCACGATCTTCAGTAGGGTGCAGTTTTTGGTCATACCCAGGACCCACCTCTAGGCTATCCTGCTTTAGCAATCCTGATGTCAAGCACCTCATCTGGGTCCTGGGCTTCTGGCCCCATCTCTTGCCCCTTTCAGGCTACAAACTCTGGGCTCCCTGGCCCTGGTCCAGTGTCTCATCTCTGGGTCCCCTGGCCCCAGCTCTCTCAGTTCCTGGTCTCTCTGGGCTCCCTGGACCCCTGGACCCCTCAATAGGTCCCACACACTTGGCACCTCTCTAAGTCCTGGGCTCCTCAATAGGTCTGAAACACTTAGCCTCTCTCTAGGCCCCAGACCCCTCACCCGTCAGTCTCACTCTCAGCCCTTCCCTGGGCTCTGATCTTACACTCAGCCCTTCCTTCTGGGGTCACTTCTCACTCATTAGGTCCCCAGGAACTTCCTGCACCTCTTTAGTTGCTTCCCAAACCTCTTCTGCTTCATATGTCCTCTGCATGCTGCCATTCCAGAGGCACTGCCATCCTGCTCCCCAGATGTTCACCCAGCAGTCTCTAAAATGTTACTGCTGGCTTCTGTCAGGGTTCGGGCTTCTATCTTGGCTAAGCCCAGCCCTTCTTCTGGGTCAGATGACTCTCCCCAATAAGTTCTAGCCCCACCTGTAGGCTTCTACACCGGCTGCGTCTCCTCTTAAAGTGGCAGGGGCCCAATGCAGCCTGCCACATCCACACCTTGAATGCCATGCTCAGTCCTAGTCCCCACACTTCAAAAAGAATATAGAAGAACCAGAGAAGCTACAGGGAAGGGCAACAGGGATGATTAGAGGTATGAAGGGGCTTCCATATGAAGAGATACTTAAGAGGCGAGGCCTCTTCAATGTAGAAGAGATGCTTGAGGGGAGACATGATATGGGTTTACAAAATACTAAATTTTGGTGGTCATCAGGGGTGACCACCAGTATCTGGGGGAACATTTGTTCACCAGAGCACCCCAAGGGATGACAAGGTCGAATGGTCACAAACTACTTCAAGATCGTTTCAGGCTGGACATAAGGAAGAATTTCTTTATTGTCCGAGCCCCCAAGGTCTGGAACAGCCTGCCACCGGAGGTGGTTCAAGCGCCTTCATTGAACACCTTCAAGATGAAACTGCATGCTTATCTTGCTGGGATCCTATGACCCCAGCTGACTTCCTGCCCTTTGGGCAGGGGGCTCTACTCGATGATCTTCCGAGGTCCCTTCCAGCCCTAATGTCTATGAAATTTATGAAATAGTGAAGAAAAAGTAAATAGGGATATATTTTTGACTAACTGTCACAATACAAGAACTAGGAGTCACAAATGAAACTAGTAGGTAGTAAGTTTAAAACTAACAACATGTGTTTACACATGCAATTAACTTGAGATAAACTCTGGAGCACTTTAAACTGGAGTAAACTAATCCCAGACACAGCATCTACAAGTGTACCTGGGACAGCAGCAATTTGTGCTGGAGTGAAATGGTTTACACCAGGGGCACTTCTGCCCTGCTCTGCCCAAGCTGCCTGGGGCACAAGGGTGCTGAAAGTGTGGAGTCCTGTGGCTAGGCAGCAGGCAGGAGTCTGGTCTCCTGCTGCCTAGGCTTACTGGGTCAAATTATATCTGCAGCAGTGTCTAGATGTGCATTTAATCACAGTTAATTACTCCACCTTAAGATAGTACTGTCTCCAACAGATACAGTTGCATGTGTAGACAGCATGTGTAGACAGCAATGCTTTACTCTACAACGAATTAGACTACTCTGCAGTACAGTGCATATGTAGATGTGGCTAGGGTGGAATTAAAGATGTTAATTGCATTGCCACCAGGCATTGTGGAAGCT